CGGAGAACAGGGAGAGGAGGGCGCCGCGGAAGATCCAGGGGATCCAGATCCGCCCCCGAGAACGGAGCATTGATGCTTGGCTGGCGGGGATGCGGGATCCCGGGGCGGTGGCGGGGCCGGCATGGGCGGCAGCGGCCCTCCGGGCGGGGCAGCGTCGCTGGGGCGGTGGCCGCCGCGGCCGGAGTGGCCAGCGGCGTGTGGCGGAGCGGGGCCTAGCCTAGGTGCGGGGCGGGGCAGCTCCGAGAAAACCTAAAATGGAACAAGAGAAGCTGGAGAAGTTTGCATGGGCATCCAATTTCCTGAACCACTCAACTGAGCGGCGGTGATGTTCTATTTCCATATTTCTTCTCTGCTCCCGATGCCATGTACAGTAAATTACCATCGTTGCTTGTTGACGAAATTATATGTCCCCAGGTATTTTGTAAGCTGATAGCCCGTAGGCCCTTAGCGTCTCTTTAGAAGAACAAGCAGCCCAACTAAAGGTACAGAGAAAGGAAGGTACTTGCGTAGCAGCCAATTTCCGCCGAGTAATAGGGCAAGTAAATTAACGTAATCATCTCATCCCATCTTCCTTATGATCGTTATACCTGAGTTCGTGACGATCCATAATTTCCTATACCCTTGTCCCGTTGGTCACGAACTCCCTGCCTCAAGCCGCTGCAGCCGGCAGACAGTTCTGCAGGCAATGGACGCATCCACCCAGGCCGTGGCAATTGTCATCGCCCAGCGCCCCCTGTCTCCACTCTACAGAGCTGCTGGCGCAGCGCACACCTACGTCGACTTCTAGATCCCGCGGGAGGTCTGCATCGTATCATCGCTAATGGCAATCCGATCAATCCCCAGGTATATCATTATTACAGACCCTGGATGAGTAAAAGGGCGTAATCTGTGTGAGAAATTGGGCCCTCAACAATCATAATACTATTCCCTATTTCATATATATAATTTACTTTCAATAATAATTAGCAAAAAGCAACTATCAACACATGACCAAGCTTGAAGGGGACGCGCGGACGTCCTGGTCCTCCTCCCGACCAAGCTTGATGTGTGCGCAGGGCGGTGGCCTGAGAGCCTGGTGTGCGGCTGCTGATGGCGCTCGAGCTGCTGTGGCGGAACAGTACATCTCCTGCTCTCATCCTCATGCTCTCTGCTCTCTGTCATCTCATCTCTCTGATTTTTTG